CAAATGAAGGGTAGTATTAATAGTATAATGATACAAATGTTACTGGACATTATTTTTTAGTCTTTATCTTTAAAAAATTACATATGAAAACTTTTATGTTTCAAATGGTATATGCTCTTGGTCATGGTGAGGGGAGTGGATGAGGGACAGATGAAACTAGGTACCTGGTACAAAGAAGGATATAGGGGCAAAGAAGGGTAAGTCCACTATACGACTCTGCCTACTATGTCCATATAATTGACAGAGCAAAAGTTAAATAAATAAAATGAGGGTAAAAAGAGAAATGGGAATTCTACTATTCACTTTCCACTCCTCAGGAGTACACCTAGCATGTTCAAATCTACACTCAGTTGGCCCCTGGGTTGCAAACCTCTGACTTTAGCCTACTTGCCCTTCAATGTAATGTGCCCTCACTTTGTACATATGCTTCAGCACCGCTGCTGGACCCACAGTTTTGAAAGCCCTGAAAAGTGTTCCAGTCTTTTCTTATACTATACAAAACTTACTGCCACCAAGACGGAACCATCTCCTCGCTGGCCCTCCAGCGGGTTTTCAAGCCCACAAATCTCACAGGAGGTGATCTTTCTCCCATGGAGACCCTACAAGGCTGGGCAGAACCGAACAGTCCAATAGGGTTTGCTAGGCTGTAAGCTTTACAGAAGCAGGCAGCCACATTTTCTCCCAGAGTGACTGGTAGATTCAAACTGCCAACCTTTCAGGTAGCTGTCATGTGATTTAGAACTATGCCACCAAGTTTCCCTCTCAAGTCTTCCAAACTGACTGCTATCAAGTGAATTCTGATTCACAGTGACGCTCCAGCAGGCTTCTGAGGTGGTCAATCTTTGCCCCTGAGTCCCTCGTGGATTTGAACCACTGGAGACACTTGGCCTTTGAGTCAGCAGCTCAACACGTTACAGGCTATGAGTCCTATAAACCCTTACACTGTGCTTTCAATGGCAGTAGATGTGATTGATTAAAAATGTTGAGTTGCCAGCAATTTAGAAAAGACAGACCACAAGAAGCAGAGGATGGCTATGTCTGAGAGGTTGTAGAAAGTGCTAGAATGAACTCCAAGACTTAGGAGATACCACAGAGCTAGAGAGTCCAGAGGAAAAGTTCATTGAATAGAGTCACTTATGGAGTTATTGACGAAACTCAGAAACGAGGACTACGTGGCTACTACTCATTTCCATATCCATGAGATCCATATCCATATCCATATCCTACCAGCAGACTAAGAGAACGGCCAGTTTAAACTGATCAGACATGCTGACAAAGACAGAGCCATCACTTCACCTGCTGGTTCTGCATCACTTTTGCCAGTCTGTGAACATCATAATGCTTTGGCAGAGAAGGGATATAGGCATCTCCTGTTTGAAAAGTCTCATCTTCTAGCCATAATATATATACATTGAAGAGCCTGCAAGACAAAAATAGGTTAACATTTTAAAAGATATGCAAACAAGCACTGTTCCTTTATAGGAATTCTAGCCACCACTATGTAAAAATAAAGAGAAAATGTTTCCAACCACCACTACAACTTCCAGGAAATCCATTCCAGCCGAAGAAAAACATATCTCACAAATACCGCTCAACACTGAAACAAAAAGATATGAAGAAAGGGTTCTAAGCACTCTTATTATTAAAATAAGGCTAAAACAGTTGACAGAAGTAACTGGAGGTTACTGTAATACAGATCTTAAATTCTGAATTGAAAGATTTTCCTTTCTGAGATAGTGAACCTTACTTAACACTTCCCAAAAGTTAAAAGTTATATTCAAATAAACACATTAAATTTATACACTGGAAGAAGCTGTCAGCTTTAAGTTCAATCAATGTTGATATCCTGCCTTACAGCTAAAATTCATGGCATGTGTGCACTAGATCTCACCAAGAAAAAACAGAACAAAGTTAGGGTTTTTTTTTTAAAAAAAGCCAGAAAGAAATTTTTTTTCAAAAATGTAATCGTTTCTTTTGTTTAGTTTTTACAAGGAACACACTGCACTGGTATTTTAAGCAGTTATTTGCAGCAACAGGTCTGAGAGAAACTGCCTACAATAGGTAAGTTACTGGGCGGGGGTCAAGGAGGAGGCCTTGCTTTGATTTGCTCAATAGTGGAAAATTCTCTCGTTGGCCTCCGTGAAGGCCTGTCTGGGGGAGACATGGCGGTTAATAAGCCCTCAGAGGTTAGCTCTCTTCAGCCTCTGATCATGTGACATAGAAGGCTGCATTAGGAACACACTAAAGGAAAGAGAGTTAAAACAGGCAAAAGGGAATTTCTTGGTTGATTTAAAATGTTCAAAGACAAGGCCTTCCCAGTGGTTAAGCTGGGTTAAATAATATTTTCCTTCCCCAAAGCCAGATAAAGGGAGGCATCATGGGAGAGACAGTGTGAGGGCCTTGTAGTCAGGCAGGCGAGAAACCACAGTGCCTGCACTTCCTCACCAGGGCATCTGTAGTCACGGCTAATCATTAAGAATCAGTTTTACCAAATCTTATTTATAAGGCTAATACTTATTTACATCAAGTTGTAAATGAAAGGTAAAGAGATTATAAGAAAGGGATCCCAAATTATAGTTCTTCACCTTTTTGGGATGTAAATATCATGTCTCATTTCATAAGCTTGGAGAGATTTCAGGCACCTCACCCTACAGAGAACCCCTGTGAACTCTCTGAAGAACTCTGCCTTGATCAATTATTTCCTTTACTGAACTATTATGGGGAGCTCTAGTGGCCTAGTGGGTAAGGAGCTGCACTGCAAGGCCAAAGGCAGGTGGTCTGAATCCACCAGCTACTTGAAGGGACAAAAATGGGCAATCTGGCAATCTCCTCTCTGAGATTTTATAAACCTCTCTAGGATTTACAGCCTCTGTAAACTTGCCAGCTAAGGGGTGGGTCCAACTTGACAGTGTATAACAACAACATAATGAATTCACATGGTTTCTTCCTGTTTTTACATAAGAAAGGTAAGAGACTATTAGTCCTCTAACTTCTTCACTATCACTCAGACTCTAATCATTGCACAGAGCTTCATAAACATGTCAAGATGGAAAGTTGTTACCAAAGTTACCTTCTATATTCAATCCAACAGGGTTGAGACAATGAACACGCAGCAATCTGTAACACAACTAACAGCACCAGGACAGACAGCTAAACAACCATGTGTCACCTCACGAGTTCTGTGTGCAGCTCTGGGGACGTCAGGTAAGCCGGGGCGCCTGGCTGGGTCTCGTGTGGCCTTTCACTGCCCTCTGCTGGAATGCGAAGGGCCTTGCTCGCGGCGTGGTGGAAGTCGGCCACCTCGGTCAGACGCCTCTTCATATCCTTCAGCAGACTGATATGAGCTGGGCTTTGAAAAAACTTCCTTCCGATGCAGCCATCGATGGGTAAGCTTAGAAAAGACAAACACAGATCTAGAACCCGTGTCAGCACAGCAGACACTCCCTAGATGGTACAGTGTGGCAGGGTTAGCAAGTCAGCTTTCTAGGGCTCTGTGTAACTCGGCCGGAAAACTAGTGCTATCACGCCAGTTGTCATGCAGACTGAAACACTGCTGTAGGTTTTTCTTTGCTGTGATCGTTACAGAAACAAACCATCAGAACTTTCTTCCATGGTGCTGCTTAAGTTAGAAAGCTTTCAATTAGTTGCCAAGAGCACTCCATTTGCACCACCTAGCATTATATTAATGCATTATTCCCACATCCAGGGTTCTTATGAAAGGATCCAACAAGACTGCATACAGAAACAGTTCAAAAGAGAACTGAATGCTATATAAAAATTAAGATAAGAGATTGATGATCCCTGCTCATGAAGACTTTGTCGTGTGGTAGAAAAGTGAAGTGATAAAGAATCAATGTTCACGTTTCAGAGGAGAGGGTTTAGAGACAGAGCTGGGAGCCTGAGAGCTGGTGACCGAGGCTTCACAGCCAGTGGGTTCTCAGACTCCACCACGCACAGCCCACTGGCCTCAGATACACAGCTGTGTCTTGGTTCCCATCATCACTGCTCAGTACAAGCTCCCCTCCCCAGGCAGGGACAGCTCTGTGGTTACACAAGCACCCTCATTTGGGGGCAGCGTCTCTCCTTTTGTGTTTTCCCAAGTCCTCTGGTAAACCCTGCCTGGATCACTAAGAATCTGATGTGTCCCAGGGTGCTGTCTTCTTCAGGCTAGTTTTACAGGGAGCATAATGAGAGAGCTGTCCTAAGAACCTCAACTCCAAATAGGAGTTAAGAGGAGAAGAGAGGGAGACTCCCAGTACCTGTCACCTAGCAACGATCCCTAGTCACACTGCATAAGACATCAAACAGCACAAAAACAGGAATAGATCCAGAGAGAGGTACAATACTGGGCACCGTACCCATACTGCGGTCCTGGGCGGTGCAGGTACAGGAGGAAGAATTTCTGCCAAATGAGGGGCAGCAGGGGGTGATCCGAAGGCGTGACTAGCGCCTGGTGGGCCCAACGGTAAATCAGCAGCCTCTGGAGGGATGGAACGATGGGGAGCTTCAGCTGGGCCTGCGCTTTCTAGAAAGGAAGTGAAGAGGAAGACTGTGAGCAGCCGTGGCGTGGACACAAGGCAAGCACAGCGTGTGCTCGATCTAGGTGACCAAACTAAAAGGCTGAGCATTTTGTTTTCAATTCAACTGAGAAGGGAAAAATCTACAAGAAACTTCAACCCACTGTCTCACACCTTACTTCCCAGATATTAAGCAATGGGACAGAGTTTTGCTTTTGTTTCTGTGAAAACATTTCATAAACTCCAGAAATGAAAAGGGCTGTACAAGTCACCTAGTCTCACCTCATTTCCACTTTGAAATCCTTTTGTATTTAAAATGCTACAGAGCAAGTGAGTGGAATGATGCTGTTGGTCGTCTATGACTCACAGCAATCCTATGACAGCACACCAAACTCCCGCCCTGTCCCAAGCCCTCCTCACAATCTGTGTGGAATGAAAGGAAAACTAAAAGTAATTTCGTGGTCAAACTTTATCAATCTTTCAAAGTCAGGTTTTCAAAGACCTTTGAAGAATGGTAATATCTTGTGATTATCTTAATTAAGATCATAAACCAAATGCATAATGGCTGAATGGATAACCAATACATTGTGTAAACTTTCATTCAAATCAGGGTAAAAAGAGGGGGGGACATCTTAATAAATTCCATGGGAGCTCTGGTGGCCTAGTGGCAAGAAGCTGCACTGCAATCTGAATAGTCTGTGGTTCAAATCCACCAGATGCTCCGCTGGAGAAAGAGGGGCAATCTCCTCCTGCGCCAGTCGGATCTGATTCGATGACACATAACTTAAAAAAAAGAATGATAAATTCCTGGACAAGCTCACAAACTCCAAAGCAAAAGCCTAAACTATGGTTATGTAGAAGAAAAGGTCTTTATTCAACCTAAATCTCATTCTAATATCCCTCAGATTTTCCTAACTCTTAAAAACGGCTGGGAACTTTTAAAAATAAATTCCAGGCTTCAGAGAATCAAAATCTCAAAGGATGGTCCAGGGGATTTGACCTTTAAGAAACCCTCCAGGAATTACAAATTGCAAGGTGGAACCTGTTTAAAACAATGGCAATCATCTACATGCATGAAACACACAACTATGAAGTGTACACTGCAATTACACAGTTTTTAGTACTGGTTTTGTTATTGTGCTTTCCAGAACATAAAAACATTCACAACAAAAGGGAAGGGAAAAAATAAAAATTATGTAAGGTGGTGTTCTATAAACCTTTGCTCAAATCTCAACACACACACACACACACACACACACACACACACATGCTAGAGGCAAATCCATCAGCATCAAGGAAAAAAGGCATTTTCTACCACACAAATGCAGAACAGGTATTTGCACCTTCAGAGCTTGGTCAGGAGTAAAGCCAGAGTTTATAACCAATTCCCCTTCGACAATTCTTCGGAGCTGAGAGTCTTCTTCAAAGATGGATTCCATATTCAGTACAGTCCATGCAAACCAGACCTACAATGACATCAGGGACAGGGCTTTAGACTGGCAACATGCTGACATTACACAGATGAAAATCTCATCACAGTTCTATGTCAATAAACGTTAACTGTTCCCAAAGTCAGCACAGTAAAGGGCAAGGTCTACATGCGTGAGGACAAAAAGGAAGACTAGATACGGCCTCTGCCTTCAGAGGTTTTCTATTAGAGAAAAGAAGACTAAAATACATACATAAAGAATCGTGAGAAGTTAGCAGGGGTAAGTTCTGAGCCAGGGGTAAGGATGTAGTACTATGGGAAAGCAGGGGAAGGAGGCAGAAGTTCAGTAACTATCAACAATTCGAGACATACTACAGGGTTCAATTCTGACAACTCTGTCTTAAGTTTGTTCTGACATAAGTCAAATACACACACAGTCCCCAAGTTCTGAAACAGATCTGTTCCTAAGCATGTTTTTAAGTAGAATTTGTAATTACGTAAGAAAAAGTGTATGCATAATTCTTTTTTAAAATTATTTGTGTGTGTGTGTATACCATCAAATCAGATCTGACTGGTACAGGAGGAGATTGTCCCTCCTTCACCAGAAGATCATCTGGTGGATTCGAACCACGCACCTCTGGGATTGCAGTGCAGCTTCTTGCCACTAAGTCACGAAAGCTTAGTGCTATTTTCGTGCAAGAAAAGGCCTGAAGACTTTCTGATGATTTAAAAGCTTCCCATGCAAAAAGTAAAGGTGTCTGTGATGACAAATCCATGGAAATGAGCAGGTGGTTCTGGTGGCAAGGTCTACAGGGAATTGGCATCAAAACTCAATAATGAAGAATTCGTAGAAATCAATAGGTGGTTCTGGGGACACAGTCTACAGGGAGGTGGCTTCCAACTCAAAGGTGGCACCTCCCTGGCACTGTTAATTCGCCAGCAGTTCCAGTGGAGAACTACGGATAATCATCTCCCATGTGATTTAGTCTCTGAAAAGCCACGGCACGGTCAGCTATGAGTTGATTCTGAAATGATCGCAATAAGCTGAGTTTGAAGAGTTGGTCCGATCGTTTACAAGTGAGGAAAAATTTATATAAAATTACACAGCAAGCAGGAGTTGTCTATAAACTAAGATATCCATAACACAGGGACTACCTGACCACACTTTCTCTTCCATTTGATGACTGCCTTTTATGATCACTCTTTATAAATCCAATCTGTGTCATTGGGGATGGAAACATGGCATTAAAACTTATAGGCCCCTTTAACGTGTGTATGTGTGTGTGTGTGTGTGTGTGTGTGTGTGTGTGTATAAAATATCTATGTATAAAATAAGAGATCATTAAAATTGACACCACAGATGGAAAAAGAGACAACACTGGCATTCTGTGAGCTGCACTTGTGAAAGGTTCTGTGAGACAGTGCTACGTGCTGCTCTGAATGCTTTATTGAAAGATGCCAACGTGATTCCCACATAACAACAGAGGATTAAGCGGGTTCTTCACAGCATACAGCCTGCAAACGGCCAACACTTGGTTGCAGGACCCACACTCTACACCTGTCAGGTGGACCAGAGGCTGATCCAAGAAGCCTGAGACTGAACAAGCCACTGAATCCCCTAAAATCCCAATTAACATTGCTTTAAAACAACAGCAACAGCACAACTTCAAGATGGTAACACTAAAGTTCCCCAAAACAACCCAGATCTACTCCCCTTTCCTTCATGGGTTTCCTACCTGAGTGGATGTTGCCAGGCCTTCCACAAAGGAAGGTGTGATGTTGCCAGCCACGATCCAGCTCACCAAGGAAGAGAGCAGGCCCCGGTCACAGTGGTAGCCTAGAGCATTCTAGAACAAAGAGGGCAGGCGCAAAGACAGACTTTAAGATAAAGCTTATCAGGGATCCTTTTAATAATATAACGGCACTTAGCATACTATCTATCACACAGCAGATGATTCTAATAGGATATGCATTCCCATAATTAGTCCAACAAGCAGCAACAGTCCCAGGTAGTGGTAGTGTTGTTGTTGTTAGGTGTCATCAAGTCGAGTATGACTCCAAGTATGACCCTGGGAACAGATGAACCCTGACCTACCCTGTGCGAACCTCACAATCTCTGACACACTAGAGTCCACTGAAGCAGACACTGTATCAATCTACCCAGTTAAGGGTTTTCCTCTCCTTTGCTGTCCTTCCACCCTTCCAAGCATGATGTCTTCCCTAAACCAACCGAAGTATGAGAGACAAAGCTTAACCGTCCTGGTTTTCAAGGGGCCCTCTGGCTTCTCCTTCTCCAAGACATAGCTGTTCTTTTAACAGTCCATGGGATATACAGTACTCTCCCCAACAGTCTAGTTCAAAGGCATCAATTTTTCTTCTGTCATGCTTATTCATTGTCAGTTGTCTATACAGTAAGTGACGGAAAAGACCACAGTCTGAGGAGACGCAAATTAGTGCCAGGCAGTTTACTGCAGCAAAATGCAATGAGCCTGTGCAGTCTCCATGACATGATGATTAGAGGGAATGATTAGGGCAAGTAAGAGGGAGTCCTGGCAGCACAGTCTATAACGGAGTTTCACTGCCAACCCAAAGGTGAAACTTCTCTGGTTCAACTCTAATCCACCAGCTAACCCTTGAGAGAAAAATCAGCTATTTACAACCTCTGAAAACCCTGCTAGGGGTGGTCATCTATGAGTTCCTTCTGACTCTTGTGAGTCTGAGCTTGATTTTTATGCAAATAAAGCACCAGTGGCTCACCCAGGGAATTTCTAATAAAACGAATGGGGTGCCAGAAACCCTCTGAGGACGGTTATCATGCAGATAAACCATATGAAATGCAAACAAGGAGAATGGTGAGTTTTGCCATGCCACGAGGCTAAAAGAGCCAGTCCCACGACAGAAGCCTCACTATCACTAAGAAACAAAAGTCAGGAACAGAAAGCATCTTGTGGACCCAGGGTTTCTGCTCTGAAAACTTCTGAGATTCAGGAAACAGAGAGCTGTAACACTGGAGACAGTGAAGAAGGCAAACACAACAGAAGAGGGGCAGCAGCAGGCCCAGGAGATGAGCAGAGGACAGCAGACTTTCTTGTCCACGGGGCAGGAACACCGAGTACCTTCCAACAGGAGGCTGACTGGCAGAGTGGAGTGCCTGGGTGCACTTACCAGTAGAGCTAAAGAGCCTTTTTTAACAACTGCCTCCACAGGGCAGAAATTACCTAGCCTAAAAGACTGAAGGGTAAAAGTGTCAAAGATTAAGGAGATGAGGTGCAAGAGACCTCATCAAGGAGAGGCTTGTGTGTGAGCATGGCTTCTGATCCTGAACTGTAACCTGTTAACTTCTTTAACAAATCTCATAATCATCAGTATTGGCTATGAGTTCTGTCTGGCCACTGCAACAAATGACCAAGCCCAGCAGAGAAGAAGCATGCCATGGGAGGGACAGCTAGTGTCAGCACTGGGAAAAGATTGGACAGAGGTGCATGTCTGGCCAACACTTCATAGGACTCAGCTTCAGGTGATGCTGATGTGATTCTCTTGCCTACTAAAATGAGGGGAGAGTAGATGCCTTACCACACACAACCTTCCACAGGTGATCTTTTCCTCTGACTTCACTGGGTTCTGAACTACCAGAACATGGTTATTGAGATAAGCCACGAGCAGGACCAAGTTTTACCGAGGTTGTTGGTTTGGTTTGATTTTTAATGAATTACTGCACCATATCTTACGACAAAGGACACTGGACATTAAGAAAGCAGTCCACCCTAGTCTTTCCGATCTGGTTCAGTTACTGTTCTTTTGTGTCCTCTGCTAGCATTATCACAAAAACCAAGACAGAATTCTAGTTTCTGCACAGCACTTCTATAAGAAGAAGGACTGAAAGGCAGTAGTCACCAGGCAGTGTCTGCAACCTGGTAGACAGAGATTTCTGAGACATCTTTCCAGACAGAAACAGAGACGTTTCTTAATGACTGAAAGGGAAGGTCTCTAGTAGGTTTACCTTGTGTTGCTGGTAGAGCAATTTCTGCACACAGTCTTCCTGCATCAGCTGAAAAGCTGTTTTACACAAGTGGTCCATGAGGAAGAGGATGGTTTGTTCTCGGTACCAAAGATGTTGGCTAATGAGAGCCTGAACCCAGAACTCCAATACAGCAACGGGGCCCACTTCGTTGGGCTTAATGCTTACGGATATGTGTGCCTGTGGAGAAAAGGTTCAGATGACGTAACAACAGGTAAAAGCCCGCTTCCAATCATCCCAATGAAATAGTACCTACTTCTTTGCTGCAAAGCCCTAATCTGATAACCTTGCCCAAGAGCCCACACCAAGTTTTGAAAGCACCCCGTGTTGTGTTAGCACAAGTTTCTGGACGAGAAGATGGGTGAAGGTGCACGGAGAGGTTTACTAGGAGCCTGACCTGGATCATGCTGTTGAGAAGCTTCACGTTTTCCCCGTGGTTGGCTCCGGTCAGGTGCTGTGCCACTTTGTGGGTGACCTGCTGTGTGACACCCTGAGGGACACCACTGTCCAAGTGCAGGAACAGGAGGAGGTGTGACAGAAACCTGCCGAGCACACAGGACGACACACTTTACCTTCCAACCAGGCACTGCCACAATTTCTAATGGCTCAGTGCTTTTAAAAAAAAAACAAAAAATAAATAAAAGAGACTATTTTTTTTAAATAGGTCCAGTTTTAGACCAAAAGCCTATGCAAGGTTTCTAGTATTACCATCAGGCATTCCAGAGGGATACTGCATGGACTCGATAATTCTTTATTTGAGGACTGTACCAGGTATGGGAGCTCTGGTGGCCTAGTGGCAAGAGGTTGTGCTACAATCTTGAAGGCACACAGTTTGAAGCTACCAGCTGCTCCACAGAGGATGGATAATCTCCTTCCATATGATTAACTGCCTCTGAAAAGCCACTGGAGGGTCAGCTATGCATCGGTTCCAACTCTATGGTACACAACAACAACAAATCATGCATGATGGGAAGCTTAAGAGCATATCTAGCCTTTTCCCACATATACACAACACATCACTACTCCCAAACCAGACAACAAAAAAGATTTCCAGACTTTATCAAATGTACCCTGTATCAAATTACCCCAGGTAATTGAGAACCACTGACCTAATGTCATTATGAGCCTCTCAACTGGGCACCTCTGTCTCTAGTCTCTCTCTCCATACACATCAGTCTATACTTTCCCTTTTTGGTAATACTAGTCTTTATCAGGTTTCCACCACGCAATCAAGAATCTTAATGAATCCTGTCTCTCATGCCCTCTCTGCTTTCTTTAGCAGCTATTCTACCATAAACTCTGCAATTTTACTACATAATGTAGATGCAATCTGTACACCGTAACATAGCCTTTCCAAAATTTTGTTCAGATACTATGTCAAATGTTTTGTTTTCCCTATAAGACTTTGAAGTGTTTCATGCATGCATGAATGTCTTCCTGTGCAAATGAATCATTTGTATTATTATAGTAAGCACACTCCACGTTCTTAGTATCAACCTGTTTTTCCACTGTTATAACATATACTTCTCCACTCAATATAAAGAGCACTGTTTCCAATACTCTAAAAGGAACAACTGATTTTTCAAATAAGAGTTCATTCTAAATGCCAAAACCAAGCCTACTGCCATGGAGTTGGTGCTGATAAAAGCTGACATATTATCCCACACGTTTGCCAAGGTTGAAATCGTCAGAGAAGGAGCTGTCGTTTCTGCTCCCCTGGGGCAGCTGGGAGGTCCCCGCAGCAGCCAAGTGCTTACCGCTGTATCATCACAGCCTCTGCTAATAAAGTATCCCCTCCCCTCACAGCTGTCGAGTCAGTCCTGACTCACGGCTCAAGCTCCAGTGAGATTCGGAAGCTGTAAGTGGCTCGGGAGAGCACGGTATCCTGCAGAGAGGCTGGTCCATTCACTCGCCAGAGAAGAGCAAGCCTTGGGTTAGCAGAGAAACTCTCTACACACTATGCAACCAGAGCTCCCGTCCTAAATGATAAGCAATCTAAAACGAAATTATATATACATATATATATATGTATATGTTACGTGCATATGTATATGTATATATGTATGTATAAATATTTGTATGTATGTATAAATTTTTTTATGAATGTATAAATATTTGTATATAAACCAGTATAAATTATTGCCTAACTTGAGAGGGACTGAAGAGCATTATGCTGAGTGAACTAACTCAGTCCCACAAGGACAAATACTGTATAAAACCATTATTGTAGAATAAGCCTAAGGATGGGGGGAAGCAGATGTGTGAGGATATGAGGGCATGGGGATTAATCATGAAGTCGTACAATTTGATGGGGGGTTGAGGGAAACGGGAAGGATCTGGTGTGAAAAACAAGGTATTTGAATTATGTAAATAAACTAGTATAAAAAAAAAACCCTAAATTATAAAGGAAAATCTCTTTTCTAATAATATAACTGGAATCTGCATTTAAGCTGGGATACAAGTTTTGGATCTTATAAAAATATATTCTTGAAAGAGCAATTTCCTGTAATTCACTTGAGAACCCAGAAGCTACACTTGGAAGCTACAAGTGTGCCCTCGCCAGCCACTCTCCAAAGACGTTTCTTACCACAGATAGAGAATACTTACTGCTCATTCTTTAGAAGGTAATACTGGCAAGGGTAGAACAAAGGCAGAATCTTATCCAGAACATGAACCACTGTCCTCAAATGCCTTGACTGGACCAGAATTCCCAGCAGTGTGATACCTTCAGCACAAAACTTCTCAATGCTATGGAAAAGCAAAGGGCAATGAGCAAACAAGGAGGCCTTTCAATGTCTGTGATGAGCTATCCGCCTAGTCTACCTTCGACCTAGGTGACTTTTCTGTGCACCAATTTGAGAAAGAAATAATAGAAGGAGAATCAGAACTCCAGAAGTACAAAGTAAGCTGTTAGATTGGATTGTGTCATTCACTACCTCCCTTTGCTACCAAATACAAGTTCTAAAACGTAACTTCTACATCTGTGGTTATAACTCCATTTGGGATTTCTAATGAAATCATGCAGGTCAATCTCTTTTGACATTTAACACAAGGTACCAAGCAGAGTCGGGGAAAGGGAGGCCAGGCCACATAAGACCAGCCAGGAGCTGAGAGCTGACACTCTAAGAGACCAGGACCCCCCTCCACAGCCAGCAGAGAGGAAGTCTTCCCCTGGTGAGGGCACTCTGAAATCGGACTTCTAAACTTTAAAGAATGTCTAAACTAACTGTAAGATCATCAATTTGTTTATTAGAGCCACCATCTGTAGTATTTCTACTATAGCTGTTGTAGAGAACTAACAGAAAAGTCAAACACACTGCCGTTGTGTTGCTTCCATTCACAGCGACCCTACACGGGGTTTCTGAGGCTAAGAGTCTTTCTAAGTAGAAGAGACGACACATTTTTATCCCACAGAGCAGCTGGTGGATTCAAACTACTAAAGAGCAGCTTAGCAGTTCAATGTGTGATGCACTGCAGCACCTGGGCTCCTGAGATAACTGGAGACAGAATGTAAAATTGCTTGTGTAGTTTATCAGAAACTAATGAGCTGGGGTTGGGGGGAGACTAAGAAAGATGGGATAAATAATGTACACTGCATTGAAACAGATGAGGGAGAAAACTGCTTAAAAAGGATATGTGATTAGGTATGACTGTCATTACAAGAGTCCAGAACGAAGGCTGCATAGTGGAGTGGACCTGGCGGGGGTAGGGATTGAAAAACAATGAAATAATTTTTCTTTCACTTTTCAAAGAGAAGAATGTACTGGGGGGGAGGGGTGGGCAGGGAGAAAAGTACAACAATGAAATGAATGGAAATCCAAAGTCTGTAAATTTTCATTGAAATTAATAATAAGAAAAAATTTTTTAAAAAAGAAACACATGAGCTGACTGGGTATTTCAATCAGCTGGGCAGGTGGCTTCTTCAATTGAGCTGCCATCACTTTTTTTAAAAAGACATTGCAGGTATTCAAGTGTGTGTTCATTATTCTTTGAAACAGAATAAATTTACTGTGGGCATAAACATTACAAGTTGGGTGATGGGTCCAACTCTCTTCACTATACAACAAGGTGATATACTGCAAGGTGATATACTGGTACATATGTGTCTTATGTGAATTGGGGCAGCATTTTCCCTTGATAACTATTAATCAGGGCTAATCATCTGACCCAAACTATCCTGAGAAAGGTTTGGTGGGAGTCTCAGACCTGCAGGGTGTGAAAGACGAGAGCCTGGTGATGGGTTATGAGTCGAACCAACAAGCTCCCTGGATTACACCAAGTCTCCGACACATTTTTGTGCGCGACTTTTTACACTGACTACACCTATAGCAAGGTTCCGCAACCCTGCAGGTTTAGCCTAAACACTGTACCTGTGGCCCACGGCCGTCATGGACAGGGCAAGGTAACAGCCAATGGGCATGCCCGCTTTCACAGCCTTTAAGAGAGGATGAAATGTAGGCGACTCTGTCATGTCAGGGACAACGCTGGAGAAGGGAACAGTTGGGCAATTCTGTTGTATTCCATAGTCATTTTTATGCAGTTTCAACCTCAAGATCAAGTTCCAGGCCCACTGGTTAAATGAGGTCTCGGGTGTCTCTCCATAGCGAACAATACTGGCCAGATAAGAAACCTAAAACAACAGTTGATTTTTAACCACATTAGTCAAATATAAGCTAAGTCAGTAAGTTCACCCACACACCTTCTTTGATGACTAATAAAGTCCCCCAAAAGAGGATTATACTACCTATCAGCCCTCAAGTAACGTTTCCTGCACCACACTGACACAATTTTTCAATTGGTGTGTGGTTTGCGGTGCATATCCTTGATAACAAAATATAAACATTCTCTAAAAATGGTTATTTCTCACTTAAACCTGGGTATTTCCACTTATTTGCTAGTCACTTTATGAATCATATCAGAACTTCCTCAAACAAAAGAGAAGTTATATAAAAGTTGATAACCATTGACTAGTATGCTGTAAGCACTTTTTAACAACAATTTGGGGAAGGCATGATCCAATGTTCAAGGTGTAAAATCTCTCAGCATGGCCAATTTCAACCTCAGCAGTTCATTAACTAGCTTTCAAAGCTCCACGAAATTTAACAATTAGTTCTCTTCAGCCCAAACAAGCCAATTCCCCAAAATTCACTATAAGTGAACTTTAAATTCTATAATACTTAAATTCTTATAGATGAAAACTTCATTCTCTAGGTTAAAAACTGATGGTGCTTTGAGTGTTGTCACCACCGTTATAACAAAATACACACTGAAGGACAAGTCAATTTGCTTTACGAATTTTCATTAAATGCACCAAAAAAAAAGAAAATAAATTTTGATAATTAAAACAAAAGAAAAACAATGTGTTTCAATCACAGTACTCAATTTCAACATCTTAAACTGCCAGAAATTATGAAGGTCATCTAAGCGGCAATACTTTATCCATCCAACCCTTTATTAATTTAGATCTATGTTCTCAATGCATGAGAGAAATACCTGCTTCATACTTTCAGAAAGCAGCCCTGCATATGGCTTCTGTGCAAGGTACTTCTGGTAAGCTTCAAGGACCATCAGAGCTACTTCAGCATGGACTGTTTGATTCAGATGAAGAACATCCTTTCAAAGAGAAAAATAATAGCAAGTATAGCATGTTGGGGGTGGGGGTTGTACCTCAGAATCAAAAAGATCAGGCAATACAGGGAAAGAAGTCTTGGATGCAAAACTCAAATTTTCCAAAACTCACATCCTTAAGAGTAAAGGTACAAAATGACAACAGGTGAAGGGAAAAAAACAGAAATCTTTAGAGAGCCTGGATGATGGACAGAGTTAGGTCTGAGTCTTCATAATCCTCAGCCCAAAAAAGGGATCTCTATAAAGATTGTGGCATCAGGATTGGTGGAAGATCTATCAACAATCTCCGTTATGCAGATGACACAACCTTGCTTGCTGAAACTGAGGAGGACCTCATGCACTTGCTGCGAAGGGTCAAGGACTGCAGCCTTCAGTATGGACTAAGGCTCAACGTCAAGAAGACAAAGATTCTCGCCACTGGACCAATTGGCAGTGTCAGGATGGATGACGAAGAGATTGAGAGTGTTCACAGCTTCACTTTGCTCGGCTCCACAGTTAACACTCTTGGTACCAGCAGTCAGGAAATCAAAAAGCGTATCACGATGGGAAAGTCTGCCGTTAGGGACCTCTCAAACGTACTCAGGAGCAACAGTGTCTCTCTGGAGACTAAGGTGCGCCTGATACAGGTCATGGTATTTGCAATCGCTTGTTATGCATCAGAGAGTTGGACAATGACTAGGGAGGACAGAAGGAGAGTGGATGCTTTTGAGCTGTGGTACTGGAGAAGGGTACTGAATGTACCCTGGACTGCCAGGAAAACAAACAGATCCATCTTGGAGAGGATTAAACCAAGCTACTCCTTGGAGGCAAGGATTCTGGGGCTTCGTCTGACATACTTTGGACATGTTGCCAGGAGGGACGGGTCCTTGGAGAGGGACATCATGCTTGGGAGGGTGGAGGGACAGCGCAGGAGGGGAAGACCCTCTATGAGATGGATTGATTCGGTGACTGGGGTAATCGGGATGGGTGTGTCAGAGGCGGTGCGGTTGGCGCAGGATAGAGCAGGGTTTAGAGCTGTTGTGCATAGGGTCGCTATGAGTCGGAAACGACTCGATGGCACATAACAACAACAACATAAAGATTTGGGGTTATAAGTTAAGAGCTTTCCTACAAGTTTAATAACTTATGTCTACATTCCCTTTCCTAGTTCTATTGTCAGTGAAAGGAAATAAACCTCAATTATACAGTAGAAACTGCTACAGAATTTCCCATCCAACTGTCCTTTGCAAGCTGAAGAAGTTATAGTAAACTCCTAACTATAACAAGATATGATTAATAATAACTCCCATGACAAGGCACTTGATAAATTATCCTAAACACTTTATTTGCCCTAACTTTTTGAATCCTGGCATTAGTCCTACAAGGTGAGTCCTATTAATGATATATTTATAGATAAATACTCAAAGGCCCACAGAATTCAGGAAGCTAGCTCAGGGTCACACTGCTAGGAAGTGGCAGGGCCCACAGCGGAACCCAGGCAGCCTGGCCCAGAGCTCAGGCCCTTCACCAACGTGCAGTGCACCACGATTCTAACAATAACATGCAAAGGAACTGCGCAAGGAAAAGGAATCAGAAGCAAGCGGCAATTAGGACCAACTGCATGAACAGGCAGATAAAAAACCACAGGTGAGAGTAGTCTAAGAACAGAAGGAAGACGATCTTCATGGAAGAGATTGTTCACTTTGCAAAACAAAATTAAAGAGAATGCTAAACTCTGATACTGCTAATAGAAATCTTCAGACATTGGAACAGATCATTTGGAATGCTAATGTCTGCTGTATGCCTTCAACCATACCTGTTCACCAAATCCCCAGTTCAGTCCTTCCAGAATAACACAGGCCAGTTTATTCTTCACGGAGGTCAGGTCATGGTTTAGCAACCAATCCCGAATCACAGCTATCTCAGAGGCAGAAGGTCGCCAGAGGTGCAAAGGTAATTCTTTAAATAAGTATAAAGAAACCTATTAAAAAGAAAGCAAACATTACGATCCAGACTTAAGGACAGTCCTAAGTTACTGAAGTACTAAATCATTACACTGCTTGCAAAACTTTTCCCCCAAAGAGGGACTTTGTTTGGTAATTTTAGATTAAAAGTAAAAATGCAATCAAGCATATTCCACCTCATAATGACTGAATAAGACAGAGCAGAACTGTCCAAAGGGGTCCCAAGGCTGAAAATCTTTCTCCCAGAGTTTATGCTTGATTTGAACCATTGACCTTTCAGTCAGCAGTCTAGTACTTAGTCCACTGTTTTGTGTTTTATTTAAGTGGCAATTATAGACAATCAAAAAAGGGATCAAAAATTTTATATATAAAAGAGTAGGCTTAACTTTAGGAAAACCACCACACTGATAACCATGTGCTATCATTCATTTCACAGCAACACATAACAAAGTTGTGTTACAAAGCACAACTAGAACCAGTAATCAGTAGGGAAATCTGGTCGCCTAGTGGCTAAGGAGTTATGTTCCCAACTCAAGACAGGTGGTTCTAATCCACCAGCTGCTCCATGAGAGAAATGTGAGTGAATTCTGACTGAACGTTAACACCACCAGCTGCCAGTCACGTCACTGCTGACTCTTGGCAAAGCCCTGTGGTCAGAGAAGACCTGTGTTTCACCAGATTTCCACGGACATAACCTTTCTTCTAAGGCTGCTCGAGGTGGGTTCAAACCTAAAATGACACACAGAGTACCAGACAGAAGTGCCCTTTGCAAACATAAGCTCAGAGAGAAATACTATCACCTTACACATTCTTTTGAAATTATGAAGTATGACTATCTGCCATTAAAAGACCTCACATGAGAGAGCTCTGGTGGCCTAGAGGCAAGAAGCTGCACTACAATCTCGAAGGCGCACAGTTTGGATCCATCAGATGCTCCAGTGGAGAAGGAGGGGCAATCTCCTCCAGTGCCAGTTGGATCCAATTCGATAGTACACAACAAGAACATTTTTTAAAAAGTTCAAAGACCTAAAGCCTTGAGGGAAAGTCTCATTATGCACAATCAGGAGAGGACAAAATCAACAAATGGGACCTTCTAAAAATTAAGTCCCTGGGTGCTTCAAAAACATTTTCCAATACGTTTTTCTCGCTTTTGTTGGTAAAAGAAACTCTACACACTCAGGATAAACATTTGGCTAGGACGTCTCAGACAAGGGTCTTATAAAAGTTTGCAGAATATAACAGGGCCTCCAGAGAGCACTGGTGGCCCAATGGTAAGAAGCTGCGCTGCAATCCTGAAGGCACACAGTTCAAATCCCCTAGCTGATCCTCAGGAGGATGGGCAACATCCTCCCATACTATTAACTGCCACTGAAAAGCCACCAGAGGGTCAGCTATGGCTCAGTTACGATTCAACGGCACACAGTAACAACAACAAGGCCTCTATAAGGAAAAGACTGACAACAAGACACGCAACTGGAACTGACCTGAATTTATATCCTTACAATGAAACAGCATCTAGCTGCAAAAAGGAATGAAGGAATGATCCAGGCTACAATATGGGTGAGCTCTGAAAATATATGGTGCACAGTAACAACAACAAATGAAAACAGCTAGTCACAAAAGATAACGTATTGTCACAAAACGTAGTATGTGATTCTGCCTATATGAATTATTAAAATTAGGCAAACCCACAGAAAGAAAGCTGATCAGTAGTTGCATGGGACTGGGGCCATGACAGCCAGGGAAATGTCTAGTATTCCTCCTGGAGGAGAGGAAAACGTTCTACAATTCACTGTGGTGATGGATGTACTTACCTGAGAACATCCTAAAAACCACTTACCTGTACACTTTACATAAGCAAACTGTACAGTATGTAAGTTACACCTCACAGTAGCTGTTTAAAAATGCCACAAAGACTTACACCTCACAGAAGCTGTTTAAAAATATCACAAAGACTACAAAAGGAATGTTGGCAGATGACAGAAACAAATGATGGCTGCCTTGCCCGTCCTAAACTACCGCTTTCATTCTGTTTGACTGTTTTAGACAAGTCCTTCCTTCTTAATCACAGTTGCTTCTTCCTGGTATCCCATACAAGAAGTATGCAAATGAAACAAAATTACGGAATAAATGCTATTAATAAAGGTTCTATGAGGAAAGTCAACTATGAAGAGGTTTTAAGATACATTGATTCATAGCTGTTTTGAAGCAGCAGCTCAGCCCGAGTAGGCAGGGAGGATGGTATGGATTCAGGGAGGCTCTCAAAACAAACCTCAGTTCCCTTCATTCTGCTGCACCCATGAGTGATCACTTATTCCCAACCACCTTCCAATCCCCCCGCCACACCTCCCACATTATATCCTTAAAAATCATTCTCACCATTCCAACCTGGTCGATGGTCTCCTGCACTCTCTCCAACAGGATAGAAATGATCTCGGGGTGTACAGCTGTGATGGCTCCTAAAAGTTCTCGTCCAACCTTAGAAAAAGTCTCCCTGGTGGACAATATGACGTACGACACCTACAGAAGACCCAGAGAAAAGGACTTTAACGTCAGGGAGTCAAAACACATTCGCACCTTTTCATAACTTATTTAGGAATTTTTCAAGTAAAGCAGAAAGATCTCAAAAAGCACACAGTGACATCTAGTTCTAGATCCAGGAAACACAACACATATCTTATCAGAAGCCATGAAAGAGTCCCTCTGGTCTCAAAATATCTCACATTTGAAGAAACCACTGCAATGAGGCATTTCAAGGAATAATGTGTTGCCTCCTTCTACAAAAACATCTCTAAGATATCAGTCTTCACCAATTCCTCTTGAATAACACCTTTAAATGATAGGTCACAATCATTTCTCAGGACAATAAAATAAACCAGGAAAATAACAGTGTAAAGCAAAATAGAACAGGAAGATGTGAGAGCACACCACCCGAAGGTTAGGCTCTGCTTCGCTTACACACACCCACACCATCAGAAGGCAAGGCAGGGCTTTATTTTTTATTGTGTATTCTGGTCAAAACTAAGTAGCTCAATAGTTAAAAGCTAAAAACAAATAATAGTTAATAATAAGATAAATAAATCTAAAATAGTTCAAAGCATAAAGTACTACCTTAGTCAAGAAACTTGAGCTCATCAACAAACGAATGGCTAGAGAAGCTCTGGTATATTCACACAATGGAATACTATGCTGCATTGAAAAACAAGGAACTCACGCACTATTACTCAAAATGGGTGACCCTGGAGGACATTATACTGAGTGAAATATCTCAGTCACAAAAAGATATATACTGCATAGTGCCACTGTTGTAGAATGAGTTGGGGTAAGACTGAAAAAACTGGATAAATTAGGTATGCTGCATTGAAATAGATGAGTGAGAGAACAGTTTAAATGCGATCTATGATAGGGTATTATGGTTATCACAAAAGTCCAGAATTAAGGTTGCATAATGGAATGTGCTGGGGGGGGGGTGCAGGGGATTGTATACCAATGAAGGAATTTTTCTTTTACTTCTCAAAGAGAGGAGCGAACTGGGGGGGAGGGGTGGACAGGGAGAAAAGTGCAACAATGAATGAATGGAAATCCAAAATCTCTGTAAATGTTCATTAAAATAAAAAAGAAAAAGAAACTTGAGAATGCCATTTCATGCACATAAAATGTATTTTTGTCTCCTCAAATATTTCAGGCCATCAAGGCGGCCTGGGACTCCAGATCCGTTCAGGCCTTAACCTCATGCGTGGTTCCAAAGCACAAGTACAGGAACAGCAGAATCAAGTATTTGATCCAGAAAAGAGCTTCCAATCATCTAGTTCTGTCATTTTCTAGAACACAGAGGGGCAGATAACAAATGCAGGGCATCTCTTAGAACATAATCTTGCCTGAATTTAACTTGGGTAAGTTGAAGGAAATCTTTATTAAAATAAATATAGGACAGCCTAAAGTGCAAATTGTGCATGGATTTAAAAAAAAAAAAAAGTTAAAAACAAGAGTGGATGTCCAAAATTTTTTCTCAAAAATCCAAACAAAAGTTCTAAAAGCAACAAAAGCAATGATTTCACTTCAGCCCGTCATTCATTCAGAAATAGCAGTAGAGAGAGAGAGAGAGCAGTAAAGTATCTTTTTCTGATGTGAAGATGGGCAATTAACAACAGAGTTAAATATCCTTTCTACCATTTGCTACCATTTGGCTTCAAAGTGAGGTTTTCACAACACTGGAGCGAGTAGAGAAGTGATGATTGAGAGAAGACAGGAGACCAGTATAAAAACCACAAGGAATGCAAGCGTAAGCATGGCAGATTGTCTACTTCATACCACAACTCATCCATCTACTGTCAAGAGACAGGAGGGAAAATGGAATGAGTATAACTCATGTTGTTAATATTCCCACATGACAAAATGATGTTCCTTTGGCTCTTTATCCCTCTTTCTAGGCACAAACAATTGCTAGAAAGTTGGTTTTATTATTATTTTTAAAAAAAAAAAAGCAATCCCCATAGAATCAATAAATTAACAACCCAAAAGAAACCATGTGTAGTCTCCAGAACTTAGTATTCTAACCTCATATATCTCCAGAACAATAATTTTTATGAAGTCTTCATCCACGTTGGTTCTTCTGGCCTGAGCCATCTGTGCAAATGTTGTCAGAAGGCAAATTTCTTCTGAGCTATTCATGGAAGAAAGACACTTCTCGACGTTCAGAAAGTGCTGTGGGTCTGAAAGTGCATATCAAGAAAATGAAAGAATAAATTTCCAGTTGTGGAAGTTACTCTATCAGAAAAACTAAAAAAAAAAAAAAAAAAAAAATTAAAAGGGAAAGAAAACTAAATTATCAGAGGACAAGAAAGTATAATGTTAAAAGACAATCAGTCCCAAAGGCGCATGGTTCAAATTCACCAGATGCTCCGCTGGAAAAGGAGAGAAAATCTCCTGTGCCAGTCGGATGCAATTCGACAGCACACAGCAAAAAAAGAAAAGAAGGGGGAAAGATAATCAGAAATACTTAAAGATGTCAAAAGGCTATCTTTTCCCTATATTGGTTTTACCAAAGCCTCGGAGAGGAGGCAGGATCAGACTGGCCTCTGAGAAAGCTACAAACTTTATAACATCATCTCAGAAGACAACTGAATTCTCCAGCCTCAGTTTCCTAATATGTTTTAAAAGGTTACTTCAGAGCTTCAATGACATGCCAAGTGGTTTTTCCTCTCTGTAAGCACTGTCATAGGTGAGACATCCTTGAGAGCAGTACCGCCAGTGCCAGGGACACCAGATGAACGAAGACCCTGCCCAGTAAAACTGCCAAGACGTGCAAACCACTCAGCGTAAACACAACAGTGAAAGAAAACAAAGGTTGGATCAACAGATGTAACACACATTTATGTTACTCACTTGTCTGCTAACTGGCAGTTTGAACCTACAAGGCCGCTTCACAGAAAAGACCTTGCAATCTGTTCCTAGGAGCCTCTATGAGGCAGGTCTACTGGCATGGAGTCGTTATGCATCAGAATCTACCAGATGCTACACAAAAGTTACACAAAAACAGAGAACACCACGTAAGCTTTCCGAGGCAGTTCCACTCTAACCTACAGGGTCGTTGTGTTGTGTTATTGCCAGGTGCCGTGGAGTCGACTAGGACAGAGTCATTATGAGAATCAACTCAGGAATGTGTTGTGGTCTGGGCTATTATTGTTATTCCTGTGTACTGTTGAGTAGGAACTGATCCACAGTCGATCCTCTAGTGGGCTTTCAGAAGCAGGAAGTCACATGCGAAGGACACTGTCCATCCTTCTCCTGCGAAGCAGCGGGTGGATTCAAACTGCATACTTTTGAGTTGGCAGCACCAACTGCTAAACCACCAGAGCAGAACTGTACTTTGTCACTAGGTGGCAGTATGCACAAATTTGGCAACAAATGATAAAAACTAAAGGTTGCAAAGGTCAAGTTTAAAGGAGGGAAAAAATGTATTTGAAGGATAAAAAAAAGATTCCCTGATAGAATTATTGTACAAAGGAGACAACAAATCGACAATTCTTTTTACATGAATATAAATTTGAGACATGAAAAGTAGTTCAACATATATTTGTTAAAAACAGCCCCACTGGCATTTACCAAATCAAATTTTGTACTTCCACCACCAAACTAGGTTTAGAAGAGAAATACGGAAAATTTAAAAAAAAATAATAATAAATAACCAAATTATAAAGAAAGGGTAATGTCACAGACACGTGTAAAAAGAGGTTTTCTAAAAGCTGGAATATATAATATTGTGTTTACTATAAATACTAATCATGGGACTAAAAGAGTATTCATCTGGATTTACGATAAACCAGTTGTTTTTTATTATTTGTGTGTGTGTGTGTGTGTGTGTGTGTGTGTGTACACCATCAAATCAGTTTTTGACTGGTACAGTAGGAGATTACCTCTCCGTCTCCAGCAGAGGATCTGGTGGATTCAAACCGGGCACCTCTGAGATTACAGTGAAGTTTCTTGCCACTAGGCCACCAGAGTTCCCTAAGCCAGCTGTTTTCTAAAGAATTCTGGTGCCACAGAGCCGGGCTGCTAACTGGAAGGGCAGTAGTTCAGGTCCACCAGCCACTAGACAGGAGAAGGCTGGGGCCATCTCCTCCCTTAACAGCCTTAAGGACTGGATGGTCACCAATGACTCAGACTCCACTCAAGGGTGAGGCGTTTTCTTTTCAGCTGTGAGCTAAAAATGAAACAACTAAGCCGGCTGCCAAATCTCAAAACCATCTACATGGAAAACACTCAGATGCGAAGTAGAAGGAATAAGCAATGAAGAGGGAAAGCAGTGAAAGGCCTGTGTGGCCCACAGGCCATACCTTGGAGCTGCCGCTTGCACTGGGCGGTCTGGAGGGAGGTGCCCAGCTTCTCCAGGTCCCCACTCTCCACCTGGTGCATGAGGTACAGGAGCTTCCACAGCATGTGGACAGACACCGTCCCGAAGGGCATTTCCGACATGAACAACCAAATACCAAGTCTGCGTGTTTTAAAAACAGCACGAACAACTTTATTTATTAGTCAGTTTGGCCACACAGAGGAAGTAGATAAAGTTTCAGCACTGGCAGAAAAAATTTACAAAATCTACAGTCAAAAAACTTCACAATCTTACGTTTGTCAAGGGATAAATGTCAGTGTTTGTCACTGAAAGCAGAACAATAATTGTATAAAGTCTGAAATGGAAGATAGATTAGTTCAAAAGGTACAAACGAAATCAAAATGGTTTCACTGAGGTACAGTCTGCTGCCCTGTCGTGTGGTCTCAAGTTTTGCAGATGTATGAAATAGAGAAAACCCTGCTAACTTATTTGACTGTACAAACTGGTATTTTTTAAAGATATATTTTCAAAAACTCACTTTTGCAAATGTAAAATTAAGTGTTTCAATTTGTTCTTTGGAATCTACTATTCCATTGTACATCCTTAAAGATTTTTCAACTTGAGCAAAATTATTTAAGTTACAAAAACACTGAGAATCGAGTCCTGTGCGATGGCTGGTGTCATAAACCAACAGTCAGCAGGTTCAAGCACATTCAAGTAGGTGTCAAGGTCCTACATCTAACATGACGTGAAAGGTGGTTTTAACATAAAACAAAACTTTTCTGATTTAAATACACAAATGTAAAAATCAAGTGTGTTTCTTGAGGTTTACTGGATAGAAATTTCTGTAAATCGTATTTTATAAAATACGTATCACTGTACATTAAACCATGGAACTCCGTTAGATTTTGTCACTTAAAATTGAATAAACATCTACAGACCGTTTAAAACAAACAAACAAACCCACAATTACTCTACAGTCATTTTCCTAACAAACGTAAACACAAAGCATGGCTAATGGTGACACTGAACACTGGAGCAGCGCTTCCTCTGTCCCAGACACTTTTCTAACTCAGATGGACAGATCCACTCATTCTACTCCCATCAAAACCTTCAGGCAAGTATTACTCTCAATGTACACACAGGACGACAAAGGCAAGTGAGGAGAGTAAGAAGCAGGGCAGGGTTTTGAACCGTTGATACTTTCAAGATCTGAGTGAGATGATCTAAGATGTGGCTATGTGAGTACTCTAATATATGACATACACACACACACACACACACGCGCACACACACACACACACACGCGCACGCACACACACGCACACACACGGGCTTCTGTTGTTCCATCAAGTCGAGTACAACTCATAGCAACCCTATGAGCAATAGACCTTAAGCCTGTCCTGTCCTGGTGCCATAATAATCTTGGGCACATTCCATCCAGCTGTGTCACTGTCTATCTGTCTCACTGAGAGTCTTCCTCTCTTTCACTGACCCTCAACCTTTCCAAGTGTGATGATGCACCTCTCCAAAGAACAGCCTCATCCAGCAACATTTTCAAAGTATGTGACATGAAACTGTCCTCCTGCTTCCAGAGAGCTTTCTGGCTACACTTTCTCCAAGACATACCTGTTTTTTTTTTCTTTTAGGCCCTGCCCTGACTCCTCACTGGCCATGGAATAAGGATTAAACTCCATGGCTGAGTATTCAAAAACTTCCGTAAGGCAGCCAGGACCCACACCTCCACTCTGTGCCTCTTTGCATTCAGAATATGACTCAGAATTGGCTCAGGAGCACAGGTGTGTTTTGTTGTAACACAGACACTCTAGCTGGGTGGATAATGACATTTACCCTTGTTTTCTCCTGCTCAAGGCTGTCCCAAAAGTTCACGGGGTGACAAAAATAGAACATCAGAATTACACTGTTGTAAAAATGAAAAGAAATCTGTATTATTTAAGTCGTTCTAGTCAGCAAGGGGTAAACTGCAGAAAAGGAGACTGAAGCCCAAGAAATGTCCCAAAATATATATATGATGACATTATTATGAGAGATCCACATGGGTGAATGATTTGCACTCTAATTATCCTCCCCAGCCACGAGAGAGTCCTCAACAATTACCAACATTCTTCTTACCTTTTTGCTTTCAGCACACGTAGAACAGCCCTCAGGAAGAGTTCATCAAACTCAACCTGGAGCTTCTCAATGGAATAGGGCTGCAGGGCCAATCCCAGGCCTTGATTGTGGCTCACAAACTGTGCCCAGTGGTCACTCACATAACCAAGGGTCATCCTGACAAGGGAGACACGTATATAATAAGTACATCACTTAAACGATCCCATCCAAAATTAGCAATTTCATACTCTGAACATTCAATTTTTCAGCACACCTTTGCTGAGCACCTTCCAGGTTCTGAAAATAAGGCAAAAATAATAAAACAAACCAATCCCTACTGTCACGGAGTTTAGTGGTGAGTAGAGAGACAATAAAATAAACATGTAGCCTGTCAGTAGGAAATAAATAGCAGTGTGGGTGTCGATAAAAGCATGGAGGGAACACAGTACGTCTGGAGTTGGGAGAAGGGCTAAAAGGGTGAGCTGGGAGCAGCAGAGGCCTCTCTGCAGAAGGACACATGAACAAGAACCCTAAGAAGGTGAGGGTTTAGTCAGAACAACATCCACAGGACAAAGCATCTGAGAGGCAACAGTGCAAAGGCTACTGGGTAGGTTCACTATGTTTGAGAAATACTAAAAACACGCATAAGGGGCAATCTCCTCCTGTACAAGTCAGATCTGATTTGACGGTACACTCACACAAAAATAATAAATAATAAAAAAAAAAAAACCACGCATAGAAATCTGGTCACAAAGGGCCCTTATAGACCACAGAGAGGACTTCCAGGGTGCTTTTCTCTTAGTGATTTAATATTCACTTTATAAAGTAGTGCCCTGAACTGGCTCCTGATTTTAAACACTTGGTTGGAGGGGTGGCCAAGAACAGACGCAGAAAGAGAAGACTATTACACTATTCAGGTAAGAGAGTAATCGTGTGTGAACAACACGTGTGTGAATTGTGGAAGGGGAACCCAATTTTCTCTCTAAGCATGATAAAACTAGAAAAAAGAAAAAGAAAAGCTAACCAATGACATGAAAGGCTGTCATGTGAACTACATTAAAGATGTCATGCAGGATTAAGATCAAGAATTAATCAAGGATAGAGAATGTTCATTAGCATCATTTGGAAGAGTTAGGAGTTAGGGCACAGTCCTGTGGGGATGGCCTAACGGCCTGAGGAGAGATACTTTCTAAGAAGCATCTGAAACTGATTTAAAAGAAGATGGGGGTGGCAGGGAGGAGAAGCATAAGCACAGTATTTTGTGTATTTATCAGTTGTAACTGTTAACAAAAAAATCATAATGTAAAGACTAAACACCGACTTTAGAGAGTTATTGAGAAAAGAAAACAAGAAGGTGCAGTGGAGATCTTTTCTCAAGCAAAGTGGACCCCAACCTTTTATGACATCCTATAATCACTTGCCAGGTTTTCAAAAACTAGTGAGTTTCCACATACAATATACCAAAATCTATTTCGTTTTAGAAACAAGTGAAGATGGAAAAATCTGTTTCATTTGTTGGAAGATTATTTTGGTTTTAAGAAGTGAGGAATGGAACAAACAGGGTATTTATTTACTGAAGTAACTATAATGGTATATGATCTAATAATAATCCAATAAAGATAGAAAACTGGTAATGTCGAAAAGAGGATACAAAACTAACTTAAGACACTTTTCACAGGGTGGTAAAATGCTAGTCTTTCCCAAAGATAGTGGCCACTGACTGGTTTATCTCTGCAATTTTTATCAGATTTATCTCTGCAATTTTTTTAAAAGGTACTTCTTAACAGAAATTAGAAAAAGAATGAGTAAAAGCAGGGAAGCGAAGACTAAAACAGCTATTGGCAGCTTTCCACAGCTCTGACACAATTTCAGAGCGAAAGCTCAGAAGGAGGAGAGCAGAGAGCAGAGGCAAGACCTGCATTTCCACTGACCTCCTTTCCTCCACTCTTCCACTCCTGAACGACTCTAACAGTCATGTCACTACGCAGCTAAATTTGAGATAATTAACCCACTGTCTTGACTGGAAACGTTCTAAAATTGCCATCACATCTAAGGTGGAAAAAAGCAAGGAAACAAAAGTCTTGCTTTCTGAAAAATGAGACCTACAGTATGGCATGGAAATGTCCCCCAGCTCTAATGATGCAGGGCCTGTGCCCAAGCAAGAGGAAAGTAACCACAAAGACAGGGAGGTCCCACAACAGAGATTACCTGATCATGTAACCGATGCGCTTCACAAACTGCCTGTAGCGAGCTCTGTTAAAGGTCTCTAACCCCACACCCAGAAGCTCCACCAACGAATTGGCAAAAGCAAAAATTTTCATCATCTCTTGAGGTCTTGTTGTTTCAGGCAAATAGTCACCTACAAATTAATAAGAGAAAAGGACAAGAATATACTTACTATTGGAAAAACACTGAGGGAAAATTGAAGTATAAATATTTCAGTGAGGAAACAAAACCAAATTGGTGTAAGAATCAACAACCCTTGTTAACCCTACAGCAACATGAAATTGAACACTTGAGACACAGTGCAAAATGAAAATAAATATTACTAAAGCTGGGCAGTGTGAAAGCTGGTTGGTCTTGAATTTAGGCACCAGGTGGAAAATTACAACCCAAAGAGAAAGGAAGGAAACTTTATCAAGGTGATACCATCATCTGTAGCAGAGCTGAACAAAGATGAAGGAATCCCTACATGAATTAAGTAAGACTTGGTGCTGAATTCCTGCATTTGAGCTTGCCACGACCACATTTTCCATAAGACAAAAGAAATCAACCTACCTTTTGCCTTGATCCCAAGAAGATGCTGAAAGAGTTCATGAAATGGAAACTGTGATAAAAGGGTAACCAAGTCATCTTCATTAAGGAGAATCCAACTAGTTTCTGGGTCTTCGTCCTAAAATGGAAAATTATGGCAGCTGAGTCCATCAGATTAACACATGGCCTATAGTCACAGGTGCTAAATTATCTCAACAGTACGCATATGAAAATTCTCCTGAGCTCTTAGCTTCATAGTCTCAGTTCTGCAGACAGACTATAAATGCTCTGAAAATGCAAGCACAATTTTATGTTAAGAAAGGATCATGTCTATCCTTCAGTGACAAACTATTCTTATTAAATTCCATCCCAAAGAAGGTAATTAAAAACATTCTTCTGGGTTGCTCTGGTGCCCTAGTGGCAAGAAGCTGCACTGTAATCCTGAAGGCAAGCAGTTCGAATCCACCAGATGCTCCACTAGAGAAGGTGCAATTTCCTCTTGTGCCAGTTGGATCTGACTCAATGGTATACAACAAGGGGGGGAATCCAAATATTCCCCTAGAGTGGGAATCTTAAAAGTCCATGCATTGGAAACATCAGTTAAAGAACCATGTTACAGTACAAGGGATTTCAGTCACAATTCTCTTCTCCCTCAAAACAAGAGCAACTCCAGTATTCAACAGATCATTACGAAGCCAGTGCCATCTGTCGTTATAAATGACTGACGTGCTACTGTCAATTAAAGCTTATAATTGAAAACAAAAGGAAAATAACAGTGGGATTATATAAGGGAAGTCTTGAGTTCTTTTTAAGGTACACTACAATCAAAAGAAGGAGCTCTGGTGGCTTGTTGCTAAAGCACTGTGCTGCCAATAAAAAGGTATGCAGTTTGAATCTACCAGCTGCTCTTAGGAAGAAAGATGGGCTATCTCCTCCCATGCGATTTACTGCCTCAGAAAACCCACTGGAGGGTCAGTTACGGATTGGTTACAACTCCAAGCCATACAACAAAAACATTCAAAAGGGAATACTGTAGAAGAGCTACCCTGTCTAGACTTCAACAAGGGACTAATGTAATTCATTTACAACTTCTTTAAGTCACATCCTTTTTGTCCTAGGAGCCCTGGTTGCCTCGTGAGTGAGGATCTGCACTGCTAATCCACAGATGGTGATTTAAGTGGAAAGATAAGCCATCTCCTCCCGTGTGATTTACAATCTGAAAACCCACAGGAAAGTCAGTCAGTTACAACCCAACAGCAATGAGTTTTGTTGGTTTGGGGGTTTGTTTGGGTTTTTTTTGTTACTGTTATTTCTTTTTTGAGACAGGTCTGAAATAGCAAACAAAGACACTCTCAAAAGCTCCAACTGGAGCAATAGTTCTCAATTCTGCCTTCATATCAGAACCACCAGGGAGGCTTTTAAACACCTGAGTGTCTGGAAGCAAGCCTGGTCGAGATTTCTGAACTTGCCTGGGTGATTTAACTGCACTGGGACTGCTGGGAGCTACTGATCTGGGAAAAAAACCCAGATGCCTTCCTCCTCCCGCCCTTCCTCAACTCAGCATGACCGACTTTCTCATCTACCCCTCAAATTCTAGAATCCATTCAACATGTAGTGAGTACCAGCCAGGAACCAGGCACCCTGCAGGGCCCTTACATAATCGTTTTCTGTCTCTGGGATTAAACACAGCAAATCATTCAGAAACAAAAGGGGAGACCAATTAGGGAAAAGGGTCAGGGCCGTCACCCATCACAATCTTTAAAAGACCAGGCTCGCCTCTAACTCAGTACACAGATGTGTTTTCGGTGGGCATGAGCTGTGAAGTGGGGGTAGGATGAAGTGCCCTGTAGAATAAAGAAATTCTCAGTGTTTAAAATAAAAACAACAAAGACATCAGGCTCTGGCAAAACTGTTTGTACATCCAATTACTGTCCTATCTCCCGCAAAGCCCAGGTGTAAAGCAGCTGTACAATGGCCCTTCTGAATGAGCACCAGGTAAAGAAACAGGCACAGTCCCTCCCTCGCTGTGATGGCCACTGTCCTGAGACCTGTCTGTTGTCTATTCCCATTTCAGAAGTAGTGTTAGTAAACCGAGCGCTCAGCCATCATGTCCAAGCAGATCAAATGAGGACTTAGACCATTTAAAAAAAGGTACCCAGAGCTGATAATTAGCTGAAGGAAAAACGCCTTTACAAAGCTATTAACCATGTATTCAATAGAAGAAAAATTCTGCACATCCAAAAACTTCTCCAACAGGGTAAAAAGGGAAGCCAGAGACTGGGGAAAAACATTTGGTAACGACATGTCAGATAAGGGATTTATATCTAGAATTTATAAAATACTTGAGCACCACAACAAGATAAATGTAAACAATCCAATTGAAAAATGGGCACAGGATATGAACACTTCACCAAAGAAGACATTCAGATGGCCAACAAACACATGAAGAAATGTTCAAAATCCCTAGCTCTAAGAGAGATGCAAATTAAAACAACTATGAGATATCATCTCACCCCAGTAAGAATAGCAAAATCTAACAGAACAGCAAGCAACAAATGCTGGCGAGATTGTGGAGAAACTGGAACCCTTATTCACTGTTGGTGGAAGCGGAAAATGATGCAACCACTGTGGAAGGCGGTGTGGTACTTTCTCGAAAAGTTGCAAATAGGAATACCATTTGACCCAGCAATTCCACTACTGGGAATATACCCCAAAGAGACCATAACTGCCACCCAAGCAGATATATGCACACCCATGCTGTTCACAATAGCAAAGAGTTAGAAACAACCTAGATGCCTACCAACAAATGAATGGATATAGAAGCTGTGGTATATTCACACAATGGACTACTACGTTGCAATGAAAAACAAGGAATTCATGCAATATTATTCAAAATGGGTGACCCTGGAGGACATTATGCTGAGTGAAATATCTCAGTCACAAAGGGACAAATACTGCATGGTGCCACTGTTGTAAAACAGGACTGACATCAGGGTTGGGGGGAGACTGAGAAAGATGGGATAAATAATGTATACTGCATTGAAACAGATGAGGGAGAAAACTATTTAAAAGGGATATATGATTAGGTATTATTGTCATGACCAGAGTCCAGAACGAAGGCTGCATAGTGGAGTAAACCTAGGGGGAGGGATTGTAAAACAATGGGGGAACTTTACTTTTCAAAGAGAAGAGTGTACTGGGGTGGGGAGGGGAGGGCAGGGAGAAGAGTACAACAATGAATGAATGGAAATCCAAAGTCTTTGTAAATTATCATTAAAATTAATAAAAAAAAAATGGGCTATCGCCTTTACCTCTTCTCCTCCCTCATCTACCAGCGTCCAGTTCCCTGAATCCGGCCCCGAGGAGGACAGGTTCCGCTCACTGGGCTTCATGTGGCACATGAACTCTGCTCGGTTCCTACAGGACAAGAGAAACGACCCAGTCACAAAGCACAGCCAGCCACACAGGCGCGCAGCCTGGCTCACCTTCCCACCGTGAAATGGACTCAGCACTGACCCAAACCTTCTAGAGGAAGAAATTAGTAAAGAAAAAAAGAACTGGTTAAAAAGCAAGACACACAAACCTCACTAATTTTGGTGGAGAGATGATGGCCCTTCTGAATATTTTACCATTAATTAGGGACTGCAGAAAAGCTGTGCCACTAGCCAGCTCCTGACACGCGATGACCCCTCAATCCAGGTGGCTGCAGACCCTCATCTCTACCCAAGCCTTACAAAGTGTTGCTGGGGTGACAACTTTAGATAACACAATTTAGAGCATTTTAAAAGAGTATTCTACAAGGGAGCTCTGGTAGCCTAATGGTAAGAAGCTGCACTGCAATCTCAGCGGTATACGGTTCGAATCCACCAGATGCTCTGCTGGAGAAGGAGGGGCAATCTCCTCCTGTACCAATCAGATCCGACTTGATGGTATACACAAACAAACAATATAATAAAATAAAAATTTAATAATAGTTATTCTACAGAATAGTGGAGAAGCTTGCATAGAGCAAAACAAGTACATCTATGAAAGAAAAATAAATCCCGCAGAGCCAGGCTTTCTTTCACAAGGTGCTGGCTGGATCTGACGAGCAAGCAGAACCAGCATTTCTCTTCTTCGGCCACAACCCAGTTCTCTGTCCTCCGTCCCTTCTTCTCTGCCCTGAACACAAAAATCCATCCATTTCTTGAATTTTCATTCAAGACTTCTAGCTTAATAGCTCTCATGCTGTTCTTTCAACTGTCCAAATGCAAAGCTCCAAGCATTCACTGCTGTCACTTGTAGCTGTTTAACTGTGCATATCAACAATTTCGTGTTTTTCAGCCCTCAAAACCGCTTTCCTTTCTCATCTTTTGGTTTGTTAGGGTTGCTAACACCCTCTCAGTCAGTTACTCTGAATCAGAAGTCTAGAGTTTGGTCTGACGCCCCAGGATTCTCTTTATTTGTCCACCTCATCCTTTCCCCTCATTTCTTGCCCACTACCATTTCCCTAGCTCAGTTCCCGATCGGAGACACGCTGTCCAGGACTCTAAAAGCAGAGACAGTGACAGCGTTTGGCATGACAGGGCACAAACTCTGCTTTATCAGCCAGAATAAACCCCCTGGTATTGGATTAGGTTTCCAAGAGAAGACTTATAAGACTTGTAATAACTCAGTTACGTGTATATTCTTCTGGTAAAATATAAATCCTGAGCAAGAGAGAAGTTCAATATGGCAAAAATTGTGCTGTTCTGTCATGCCCAACAGGGCACCTCAGAGCGCCAGTCAAAAAGACGCACAAGCAGAGACTGAGGATGGGAGAGCCCAGCAGCGCTTCATTCTCTGTTCATAGGGATGCTGTGAGTCAGAAGAGACGCCACAGCCCCTAAGAAACACAAAAGCAACTGCAAGGACACATTTCTCACAGTGGTGAACCCACGTGAGACTCCAATGCTGGGCCGGAGCCCTTAACATTGCCAAGACATGTGGCATCTACCATAGTTTTGCATATAATGCCTCCATATAGTGTGTACAAGCACACAGCGCACAGAGGATACCAACACATGTATTTCATTAGATGGTTTGTAAAAACTAATAAAAGTGCTCTTCTCCTGTAACAGGGAGTCATCAGACTCCTACAGTAGTCACCACCCATGGCAGTAAAATAAACCAGGAATTAATAAAGGTAGGTAGGAGTTCTTCCTGTCAACTGAAAAGTCACTTGAAATACTAAAGCCAATTCTGTGCTTGACCTCAATGATGTCAGATTCCTCTCCTTCAGTCCATCCTAGTCTTTCTTGTATACAACATTCACCTTTGTTCAGAAATCCTAAATGACCTAAATCATATCTAAACTTCTGTGCCTTAAATCTAAGGGCTTCTGTTCAACTCGCCCGAGTTATTCGTCTTTATTCCTGTCTCTCATACACCTCTTCACACCAGCCAGGCTGATCTCCCTGGCCTCTTCCTGCTCAGCTTCACGTCAAATCAGGTTCTCTGCTAACACAGTGGCCTGCCTAGTCCCCTTCTTCCAATGAGCCAATCCTTCGAATCCCTGGGCCACTCATTAAGGAACCTGTCTGACGACTAACAACTCTTTGTTCTCTTCATTTCTACTGTATCAATGATTGCTTCTCAATTTAACACATGAATCTCTAATAGTGTTTCCCTGTCACCAAGTCTCTCCTTCTGAGGAACACAGTATATTTCTGTGTACCTTTGGCAACTTTCACAACAGCAGCAGAACTGACAAGAGGGAAGTCTGGCAGCACAAACACATTCACACGGGACTCTAAGGAAGCTTAATTATTTATACAATTAAAAGTCTTTAATGGGGTCACTTTGGGAGAAGAGGCATCAAGCTTTCCCATCACTACTATTATTTAAAAAAAAAAAAAAAGGAAAAGTTAAATTCCAAAATAACAATACTTTCTTCAGCATTTCTCTGGATCAAGAAGCCAATCCTGGGAAAGCAAGGAGTGTTTCAATTTTGACTTCACAAAGTTTCTCCATACTTACTTGACAGGAGACATGAGCAGGGCCAGGGATTGCATAAAGTGAAAGATCCCTGATGGGTTATTCAATACCTTGATCTGAAATCAGAAAAAGGAAAAAGAATGTTGCAGAAGACCTGTAAAAACCTCAAGTGTCCGTAATCTTAGTTCAGTAGCATTATGACAAAAGGAGGTGGACAGGGAACAAAGGTGGAGCCAGCACCTGGTCCACAGCGAGACCACAGCTCCGCACTGGCCCATCCAAGAGGTGTAGAGCCAACTGACCAGTTTACATCGACTACAGCACAAGCCAAAGGACAACATTCCCGAAGAAATGCAAAGAGAAAACCATAAAATAAATAAATAAATAAAATCCTCTATTAGTTTGAGTCAAATGGGTTTTTTAGTATCAGAAGTTTTAAAAGGGAAGAAAGAAAAGGTAGCACATGAGGTTGAACCCGGCACACTTTTTGGCTCCTACACATCTGTGTTGTAGCTATGAGAACATGACCCAAAGGTAAGCAGAGGGAAAAACCCCAGAAGCCATAAAATCAGCTCCAAGATGTATATGAGAGCTGATCACATGAATCAAGAGCTCTACTAGGGCTTCAAGTTCATGGCTGTCTCTGTTTTACCTAAAACACGTGTGGTCGGGATAAATGAAAAAGCTAGAAAGGTGTTAGGGGTGTGCACTGATTAGCCAGATTACAACTGAACTTTTGCAATTATATCATTATTTTAGTCACTATGGGTACCGAAGAACACACAGCATAAAAACTCTTATGAAAATGTACTAAGTGCAATTTTATTTTAAGTACTGATAAAAATTAATATTATGTCAAACATTAT